AACAGATGTAGAAATGTAGGTTTCTGTCCTCGATACAGTCTTCAGATTTAGAAATAATAATTTTCTCATACGTACGAATATCTCCTTGATACATTTTTCAAATATGGATAGATCTCTAATCGGTACTATCGAACAATCCAAAAAAATATTTTCTTTCTTGTGTGTAGAAATGTAGGTTTCTGTCCTCGATACAGTCTTCAAATTTAAAAATAATAATTTTCTCATACGTACGAATATCTCCTTGATACATTTTTCAAACATGGTTAGATCTCTGTTAGATTATTGGTACATGTGATGTTCCGTTCCTTGTTTTGAGGTTTGTTCACACGAGATGGAGCTGTTACTAATTGATAATCTTTCTCTCAGGTGAAGGTTTCATACATGCATTCGAGTCGAGTTGAAATTATTCGAGTCACAGACACTTTTCTGTTTAGGAGGGATGTTTCCTGCACTGACGAGAGGCAATAACTCGAAACAGATCTGTAGGTGATGTACTCGATTGATTTCAGTATGGTCCTGCTGATGGATGAACGAGAAACACCTGCAAGACTGACCTTTGTGTGGGTTCTATTTTGGATACTGCTATAATTGAAAAACTATCTGAAAATGTTCATGTTACAATGTATGCAGATGATATCCCTATACTTGTGCCAGATCATTCTGATGAAATGCTTGGAACACATTGTAATGAGCTAATCCAATCTTTGGCAACGTGGACATATTTTTCAATATGGAGGAGACACAATATCCTCGGTTTTACAACCGTCAAAAAATTTGTTCTAAACCCGATCTAACTGTATAGGATATACCAGTTTCCAAATCTGCCACCCATGTCAAGTCTCGATTGGAAAGTATATTATTCGAGTCTGATATCAGCGCTCCATTCGCAGTGCTATCTTCTGAAAAATTTGAGAACACGGTACTCATACACTCTCAATTGCTGCTAGTGTATTACGGGCAAGTAGTACAGAATCGTATGCATTATGGTGTTTGTTTCTGAGGATGGTCAACACACACAGGAATTTCATAAACTCCCAAAACCACCTGCTTCTTACCGTCAGCTGTAGTTACTAGTCTTTTCTGAGTTTAACAAGTTTTATTTTATATCTCTTTATCAAATCCAAAGAGTATTTACCTAAGCCACTTAAATTTGCACCACTGTCCAATAATGCAACAAGTTCAATTGACTGCTATATAAGGCTTATTATCAAAAGATTTCCAAATGAACAAGGGTAGAATATCATTATCTTCAACTTTTTCAATCTTTGAGCTTGAAAGATCTACTACGTCAGAAATAACTAATGAACTTGATCCTGTATCAAGGTCATTTTGTTTTCCAGATTTATATTTTTGAGAATTTCAGACACAAAAAAAGTATCAGGTTCAACATGAATGTGCCTAGTACCAAGAGCTGTGAAAGTTTATTCAGCAAATATGAAATCTTAACACGTCCATCGTTATATATTTTTGAATTGTGTCTTCATATTTTCAATATTAGAGATAGTTTTGTGAAGTTGTTCGATTGATGACCTATTTACTTTGCAGAAATTCATATTCAATATAGAATATTTATTATGACCAGTTTAGATTTATTACACCATTTTCAAGTAACTTGTAAATAGTCTAATAAACCGAAACCGGTCGTAACAAATGATAAACTTCATACATGAAGTAAATAATCATTCTCAAAATCAGTTCCATTTACCAATTTCTGGAAATAGAGTACATTTCTGCTCTCCTACTAATAATGGTTTAGGCGCATTCAGTAAATTACCAAATGAATTGAAAAACTGTTCTTCGTTATTGACTTTCAAAACAAGATGTTTTTATTCAACAGATGAATTTTCTTTTATTTGAAAAATAACCGCATCAACCGCGAAGGGTTATTAGCGGAGGAACAATTAGGTATAATTGTATTTTATGTAATATATGAATAGATTTCAAAAAGGTTACTAAAGAGTTCAAGTTCACCACGTCTAGGGCAGAATTGAGATCACTAGGAATTCTTGCTTCTTGTCTTTCATATTCAAAAACTTGGCACTCCAGGATAATGTGTGTCACACTGTTGATTACACCACAAATATCACACTCCGCAGCATATTCTTTCTTCATAAAGTGTTGGTGTGTTAGTCTTGTGTGTCCGATTCTGAGCCGAGTAATTTATTGTGGCTCATACCTATTCAAAATTGCTGAAATGAGTCCGGCTTTTTGACGAAGCCAATTATCACATATAGTGAGTGATCTTTCAGGTCAGATGGCAAGAGAGAAACTCTGGCCAAAATCTGAAAACCTGAGTCGTACCACAACGGGGCTGGCACAACATTTGTGCCCTACTAGTTAGGTTGAGTGTGATGACTATTCTTATACAAATTTAAATTTGTCGATCATGAAAATAAATGCTTCTACTATTACTACTACTAATCACTTTCCGGATTGAGACAGCAAACACTGTCTGCCAACAGTCCAAGTCTTCGCATATAATGATTTAGACTATAATTGCTTGTTAGTGGCTCTATTAGACATCGCAGTCCATACCTGCTATAGTATAACAATTGTTTGGAAACATAATCCGAAAGATGTATGGGTGTCTTTGGATAGTTCCATCCTGGCAGATTTTGCCAGAAGTTTGAAACTCTTTCTGCAGTCCCAAGGGCTCAGTATTCAGACGAAAGTCGCAGGATTCTGGAAATGACCTCCTATTCAATGCCTCCAACTGTTAACTACGAACTGCTCATACAGAACTATTCCTGACCAGAGAAGACTGGGTCTAACGATAGAAAAAATATTTAGAGCAGATAGTTAGTGCAGGTACCTATTCGACCGTATTCTAAGTGGATTCATGTGTGAAGAGATTGGCAGAATTCAACCTCATACATAAGTCAATCAAAATATTTCCTTAATTGGTGGAGAATTGTCAAGAAAGACTCTCATCATATGCCCTCTGTTCTGGTTTTGTTGCCTTGCTGGCTTGGAAGATGACAAAGTTGTTGACATCCTTGTAATCGGACCAGAATCTGTCATTGGTATAACTTCAACCTTTGACTGGACATCTGGACTGCAAGAAGAGTTTCTGACTTCTGGCAGAACCCATCAGGAATCCAAGTCGTTCATACAATTTCGAAGTGTGTAACCTGCCAACTAGTAGGCTACATGAGGTATAAACTGAGTTGTCTAACTGTCTGAATCATCATAGGCACTGTTGGAAGACAGTGTTTGGAAAATGATAAAGGCAGAACACATATTTTTCTTGTGTTTGTAAGTGAGTATACAAGAGTACTTGTATAATACTTCACGATCCTGCATAGACCAATAAAAGAAAATTGGTCAAAAATTATGAATCAAGCAACAAAAATACCAATTGACAAATTTGGAAAAATAATTTAGAAATAGTACAAAATCCAAATCAAAAGTCATAGATGAAGAAACGAACTTGTATTACAAATTCATTGTAATACAATGTCGAAAAAAGTAACAACTCTATGGGGAAATCAAACAAAATCCAACTGTCGAAAATAAACATCGCTATCACAAATACAAAAATATTTTTGGTAAATTGATAAGTGAGGTCAGAAAAATTCTACCAAATCAACTCTGGAAATCTGTAAAATAATATCAGAAATAGAATAAAAACAAAACAGACATCAATAAAATGAATAAAACGAAATACAAACGGGGCATTTCCTTTACTGAAAAACTATCAATTACCAACGCAAATTTCCTAGTAGCATTGGCGAAAAAATCTATAAAAAAGAAACTTCCCTAGAACTCAAAAACGTATCTTATTCAACTCAAAAATGGAACTCATTTTTCTTATTACATGCAAACGAAGCCGAAATTATAGAAATGATTCAAAACCCCAAAAATAGTCTCCAGGGTTGGACAACATGAAAGCAAAACATTTCAAAGAAATTGTACGATAGATAGCGGCAACTCTAAGATATATCATAAATTAATCCATAAAACAGGGAAAATATCCAGATTGTTTCAACTTTGGTTTATCACCACAATCTAAAAAAGAAGGTATCGTCCCATATCTTTCGTGTCAGGTGTTGCAAAAATCTTTGAAAACCTTCTACAGAAACGGCTACATTCATATATAAAACAAAAAAACCTAATCTCGAATTGGCAGAAACATGGCAACCAGCACAGCACCTATATGTATATTCGTCGACCCTTCAGAAAGTAAGAAAGTGAGAAAGTAAGAAAGACAGTGCTAGAGGGAATCGCGACAGAGAAAGGGGAAGAGTTACTTGACCAATTGCAGACAATGTAGAAAAATTGAAGAAAAAATCAATGAATACAGAAAAGTAGAATGCGGAGTCCCTCAAGGAATGGTCTAATGACCACTTCTATTCATTCCGTATTTAAACGATATATTTCATATAGAAACTGTCGCCAGCATTATCAGATCGGAGCACAAATCATTCCTAGAGTCCATTTTCATATAGATTCATAAATAAAAAACGTGTGCGTCTCAGGACGCCCGACAGAAGTGATAATTTAAACGCATCTAAGTTGAATATTACTGGAGCTTTATCCTAACACCAAACTGTTATTTTAACACCTCGACACGTGTTTCAATCACCAGGTGATCATCTTCAAGAGGAAGATTAAACTGTTTAATCTTCCACGTGTCGAGGTGTTGAAATAACGGTTTGGTATTTGGATTAAAACTCCAATAATTATTCATTGCTACACCAAAGGTTCCAAACAGTGCATCACCAATAATCTGAGTTAAACGATTCATTATTGAAATTGTTTAATTTGAGAAAAACTCAGGTTATTACTTAAATTTTATGTATAATAATATGATAATGTAAGGACAGGTTGTTTATTGATAAAATCTTTTATTGATTATTTTAGGAAATGACAAGTGAGAGGACGCAGTTGAAATTTTGAGTAGTTATGTTTGGTAATTCAATTAGTGAAATTTCACTGTAAAAGTTAGTGAATAAGTTATATTTTTGTTCATTTTTAACACAAAGGAAGAAACGACTCACCCTTCCCATGTTGAATCTGAAAATTGGCTCGGTATTTTTCCTGAAAAACAAAAATCAGTTTGAAGCGTAAAATCACTCCTATATTGTAATTATTAACGGACTCATTTCTGAATTTCTACAATAAATTCAATTACTCACGGGAGCTGTAATCGTGAGCAATGAATTTCAGTGGTACGCAATTTTGTATGTTATTGTCAGTTTAACTTTGAAAGGTACTTCCACAAAGTAAGTTAGCAAATTATTTGGAAAACCACTTCACCTACATGAAAAATATTCAAATGATTTTCACACTTTGAATGTGTTACTTTGCAGGAACTTTGTAAGAAATAATATTATACGGATCGGTTGAACTTATCAAATGTGTTGCATTTCGACAATGACAGACCCAAAATAGAATATGACTCTTAGGCACACAATTTTCCATCGCTTACCTTTCTCAATAATTTTGTTCATCATTCTTGACTGTTATGACCAATATTCATCCAGATTTCTAATTCATACAATTTTTGTACTTTTCCAAGTAATATTTTGTTCAAGAATGATGTCCAGTCAGAAATTATATCTAAGAGAAATAGAAAGCCCAATAGATTGAAAGGAAGGCTATATAGAGTTCAAGTAAAACACTTGAAGCAGAGAAGAAACAAAGGGTGTTAACCTTCGTTAAGTTTTCCTAAGTTTTGGAACTGAACATCAAAGTACTTAAGAGACGGTATGAATATTGTTTGTTTAATCTTCTAAAAGTTTATATCAATCATTCAAAGGGAATAGTTTTTAGTTTAATAATGAAAAATCGAATCTCTAGGTATATAAAGACAATGAAGAGATGCATAATGCCTTCTAGCTCATCAGTACCGTTATATCAAGCACAAATTAATTCTAGCACAAAAACTCATACTTGAGAATTCGATTTTCATTTGATGTGTTGTTATTTCTTTACGATCACGCTACAAATAACCGACTTCGACTTTGTATGACATACATTACTCTATGGATCTTCAGTAAACAATTTAACAATCATTTCATAACGGTCACGATTATTCTTTACTCTTATCTCAGATTTATATCCTGTAATTTTCAAATAATGGTTGGTGATGCTAGTTTTTTTCAACGAATAACCTGGTTCTGACTTTTTTGGTGTTTGGGTCACTGAACTGAAGTTTCTTCGACTTAGGTTTCTGAATGTTTTTCCAATGAGAAGAATATGTTGTCTCTTGTTTCAATTTCAAATATATTTTCAAAATAATGACCCTATCTTTTCCAATAATATACAATTCCCACTGTTATTGTTTTTCTTAATGTCGTTGCTGAGACTTGGAGATATAACCAGTCAACGCCTAACTATTCCACGTATTATGTCGGCTAAATTGTACTTTATGGGATACCTACTCACGGATTTTCGCGATTTTTTTGGGGGATGATACTACATGATGGTAGGAATTCCGAAAACTTTTTATTTTTAGTCGGACTCAATTGGTTCTCGAGATATAGCCTGTTAAAGTTTGTATGACGTCAAATTTTACCTTTTTTTTAAGAAATAAACGATTGCAATTCACATATTTTTTATTTAACACAACTATCTATGTGAAAAGCTCCCGTTGAGATTGTAGCAATGTCCTCATATTAATAGTGTTCTAACCTGGTCAAATAATTGGATGGCGATGGAGGTTGATTCATAGATGGCGCTGGCGTAGTTGAAACACAACTAGGAGGTTAGGTTAGGTTAGGTCCAAAGTGAGTGGGTTTGTTCAACCCACCACGGCAACCCGCAAGGGTTAATTGTGGCTCATATCTATTCGCACTCGACCAAATAAACCCAGCATCTTAACGAAGCCGATTAGTTTGTATGGTGAGTGGTATTTCAGGTCAGATGGTAAGAGTACGGCTCTGCCATACTGATTGTATGACGGTGGAAGTTAATTCATAGATGACGCTGGCGTAGTTGAAACACAACTAGGAGAGTAGAATATCTGAGTTTGGTGGGGAAATGAGGGAAAGGTGAATTCGAAAAAGATGTTGACATTTGACAGATCATTTTCCATACAAACCATGCTGACGTTGTCAACAGTAACATTTTTATGGTATACATATCATAATCCAACTTGGTGTACCATGTACCATCATACCAAAAATTACAGAATCAATAAGTCTTATGTGTATAGTGGCGACAATCACGGTGGCAATCAACACTGCGCTGAATGCAGCAAGAACGCTTCCAAAATTGCCCTAATTTTATCTGGCAGCTACCAAACTCGCCGGTAGAGCGGCTTTTTGACTTCTGGGAGTTGCTGAATGCACACAATGACGTACTGTGACACTACTGACAGAGTGACAGTCGGAAAAGACCATTAAGTTAACATATTTTGTTATAATTGATCTGTTTTGCACTTCGGATAAAAAAAGGAACAGTGTATTCTGATTTTTCCCCTAATGTGTGTTTCGTGAACGGCAGCTTTCACAAAAAATACAAACTAGATCGAAATCATCAAAACTACTCATTTAAAGAATGTGCATTACTCTGAGGATGAGGAGTCTTGCTTGTGAGATAATCCTTTAAACCAGTTATTCGGCTCGAATCATTCAAGGTTAAGCACGTCTTGAACTGGGAAAAGTATTTAATTGACGTACTTGCATATGACAGAAAGCTAAGTGTCAGTCTCTATGTCAATCTCACAAAATCCATGCAATTTATTGTTACTGGCATTACTAGTGTATTTAATCATAACAATAAATCCACTTTCAGCTTGCATGGATTTGAAGAGCTTTCTGTATTGCTTATACGTAATAGGTAGCATTTAGCATCTACCAACTAACTGCGGTAACATAATAAGAGAAGGATTTTCCAAGAACTCCTGGTATTACTATTATTTCGGGGAGAATTCATTTTCATTTTTACAAATCTTTACTGAATACTTCACTAGATAACACAAAAAATACCATTTGAACTCGAAGATACTAAAAACGAAATCAACATTCATAACAATAACCTCACATTACAGTCACATGTTTCAATCACCAAGTGGTCATCTTCAAGAAGAAGATCAAACTGCTGTCTTATTCATATATAACATACTAGTCACTAAAACTCCGCGATTGTAATTTTCCAGTATCACCTGAGATCCTTAGATTAGTTTATGTCCGATCATGGACACCTAGAAGCAAAAGTGACTGTGAGATATTAAGTGGGCGTATACACATTCTAAAATGTCACATTCTGATCCAGAATTGTTTCAGAAAACAAAAAATGTTACAATGTACGGAGTTTCCCATTTAAACATTTTCAACCAAGGCCATTTCGGGTGAAACCGGAAGTGACTGGAAAATGAATAATATGTGAAAACTCTCCTCTTCACATACTAAATCTCATTTTGATACACCTAATAGTCTAGAGGTTATGACTTATCTAATAGATTCGTTGACACCCGGTATAAATTCATCGTTCTCTATTAAAAGTGGCGCCACTTAACTGTTGGGTCATTGTCTATTGACAATGGTTGGGTTTTTGGTTATGTTCCACGAAGATCTGATAGATGGCTCTCAGGATCGCATCAGATGCTTTTTACATTGTCTTTTATTATTCAAACAAGGGTTGTAGCAATTAACCCAACTTTGTGCGCTTGTTGGTAAATGGTATAATATACGAATTTTGCAATATTGGTTACATCTAACACGTAAAAACAAAAAGCGTCACACACGATGCAGTGAAGTAGTTTCAGTCGCTTGAGGCTGGTGGACGCAAGCAGTTTCTTCTAGTTTTAACATTTTCAATCATAAGACACGTTTAATTTCAAATTTGGAATATGGAATGAGCGTGTTTTTTATTTATTCTCCACATTATTCCATTGTTGCTATTTATCAATTGTTTGATTATCGTTTCTCTTTCTGTGTTTTATGCTATAGCAATAATGATTGTTTGGTGTAGCGTAATGGATCACAATAGGCATCGCAGCAAGGTAGATCACTTCGACCGTTGCCGCATCGCCTTTGATTATGTCTACCGCAGTAGCAGACGAAACGTTAGGGATAAAAACCTGCAGACCACGGCTATTTGGGAAAAAAATTGGTAGCGCCCTCTCGACGACGACTGATGAAACACTATTGTCTTTCTTATCAAAAAGTACTGAAAATGATACCTGTTAACGTAATTTTCGTCCGACCTTTATAACTCGTTCCGTTCAATAGCTGAGAGGAGAGGAACTATTTACGTCCGTGCTTCTTCCGTCCGTATTTTTTTAATTTACCCCCACTTTTTTTTTGAACGGGTAAACTATAAAATTGAAATTTGGGATAATGAAATTGATGCATGAATACCACATTTTTAAGTGAAATTGACAGATTAAAGTTTCACGATGGCGACTGGGCGCCATCTGGAAAAAAAATAAATAGAAAGGGGGGTCTTGTGACACATCATTTTGAAACTCCTGAACCCTAGAATATGAAGTCAATATCTTCACCTATTACAAAATGGTGGAACATTCAATAGTTTCCTGAAGACAAACACATTAATATCGATATTTCTTGAAATACTCCTTTTTATCTATCATATGGCTATTCCAACAACCCGATAAGGTTTGTTAAGTTATTTTTTGTTTATAAAAACGAAAAAACAATATCCAAAAAAAATTAACGTTTGGGCAGGAATATTGGGAAACCATATTGTAGGACCTCCATTTATTGATCAAAATTCAACAGGGGAACTGTATTTGAATATGCTGGAAACTACTGTTGACCCTCTCATCACTGAAATCGTCGAAGCGAATCCTAATGATTTCGATATGGATATTGTATTCCAACAAGATGGAGCACCACCACATTACTCCAGACAAGTAAGAAACTATTTGGATACTACTTTTACCAGTCGTTGAATTGGCCGTCGAGTTCCTATAGAATGGCCAACCCGCTCGCCAGATTTGAAACCTTTGGACTTTTTTATGGGGCTATTTGAAGCAAAAGGTGTACGAAACTGAACCTGCTTCAATATTGGATATACAGCAGATAATAATAAATATTTGTAGATATATTGACGTTACTGTCTTCGAAAATGTTCGGTGTGAAATATCGGATAGGCTGTTCATATGTCAAGAAGTTAAAGGCAACTATTTCGAGCATCTTCTGAACTGACCCCAAGCTCATTACCTCATATTATAATATAGTTGAATGTCAATGTATTCAGGCTATTATTAAAAGTTCCGCCATTTTGTAGTAGTTGAAGATATTGACATTATATTCTAGGGCTGTGAAGCATTTGTCAGGAGCTTCAAAAAGATGTATCGCAAGACCCCCCTTTCCATTTAATTTTTTTCCCAGATGGCGCCCAGTCACCATCTTGAAAGTTTCATCTGTCAATTTTACTTCAAAATGAAGTATTCATGCATTAATTTCATTATCCCTAATTCCTATTTTTGGAGTTGACCCGTTCAAAAAATAAAAGGAGGGAACATTAAAGAAAATCACTGTATAGTGTTCCTATGAATTATATCTATTTCAATAACATACTGAATGTTTGGAGTGTAATCTGAATGTATTTTTTTTTGTTCAATTCAATGTTCATATGGAAGTAATTAATTACTTCAGAAGTAATTTTTCTTTCATGATATTCAATGTTCATGTGATAGTAGTTGCTTCGAAGTTTGTATCTGTTTGTGTCTGTTTGTGACTCCTCTGCTTGATCTACACATCTTTGTATAGTTTATTTTGAACTTAATTGCATTCTTTCTTTTCTCTCCGGAGTTTACCACATTTTTTGTAAGTGTCATAATCTACTGTTATGTTTTCAAAAGTTCCACTTATTATAACGTGACTTCCAGCATTATACGTTGAGTTGATTCACGATTCGTGTCGTCATGATCAAGGTTCGCCAATAATTCTCAATGTGATTTTTTTCAGCAATTCCACTATGTTTCAAATTTACAACTTTTTCAATGGTCGCACATCATCAAGCGTTCAACATCTAAATCTCAATTATATCAAAAAACAAGTTTTTTGGGTTAGAATTCGGAATAGTTTTATTTCAAGAACTCATCTGCTTATTTTCGAATTGAATGATCGGAGAAATGTTCCCGTTATACGCAATTGAATTCTAACAAAAGTTAGGTGAACATATTTTATTAGACATACTTACGTTCCGCTAGTTTGAAGAAAATTGCGACAAGGTGTATTCGGATGTGTCACATCCTTCTCCATACAACTTCTGCTATGTTCATTTTCAGATATTTTCTTCACCAGCGGACTCCATATTTGAGTTGAACATCCTAATACTTCATCGATATTAGTATGTCTAGATATGAATGAATGGGACGGTCGGCTGTATGCGTGATAAGAAGTTGCTTCACCGCTTTGAGAACCTTCAATAATTTCTGACATTTCTAATCCCTCTGGGCTTGCTCTGTCACCTATTGGTTCTGGATCAACGATTTCATCATCATTTACATTTTCTTCAGGTACTTCTTCTTGCCACCAAGGTTTTTCTCCAGAATCTTGATGACGTGTAGCGTATCCCTGTTTTTCATTTTCAGCAAAAAAATTACTATTATTTATGTTTGCTTCCGAAACTCCTTCTAGCCACCAAGGTTTTTCGTCAGAATTTTGATGCGTCAAGACATTACTTCCATTGGTTTCTTGTACCATTTCAGATACATTCTCCGAACTGCTGAGCCACCAAGGGCGTTCTTCTGAGTCTATGTGTTTGAGTTTGTGATTATCTAAATACTTTTGTTCAGTGATGCCTGAGGATTCATTATGATCAGAATTATTGGTTTTGTCGCTGCTACTCAACCACCAAGAGGAATTACCAGAATTATTCCTTCGTATTTTAGTAACCTCCTGTTTTTCACATTGTTCTTGATTTGGAGAACTTTCTGTAATTTCAGGTGTATCTCCTTTTTTATCTAACCACCAACCTATTTCTCCAGATTCATTATGTTTCAGCAATGGTTGCTCAAGTGATTGCTTTTCTGTTGCAGAAATGAAATTTGATGAGTCCTTAGACTCAGCTTCTGAAGCTTTAGTGTTTTCACTTGTCCAACAGTAGTTCTGTACAGGTTCAACTCTATGTAGTATTAGTTTTGCAGAAATCGGTTTCAATTCCACTTTTTGAATTTCCTGTTTCAAACTTTCAGAACGACATATTCCTGACTGTAAACTAGAACCCACGTTAGAGTCACCTTTGGAAGTTGAATTGTGTTTGGCTTCAGTATGATTTGTGGCTTCGGTATCTGTTCCAGATTCCATCCAATTGACGTTATCTGAAGAGTTGTAAGATTTGGGTTTGAAAAGGTTAGTAACAGGAGCCAGTGCTCTCATTAGAAATGATTTTGCATCTGACTCGGTTCGATTTCCTTCTCTTTTGATCGATGATACATGCGGAACTCCTATAGATTTACTGGAAGACATTTCATCAGCAGATGATACAGATGAAGTTTTTGGCGATGTACCACTATAAACTTTACGTTTGCCTTTTCTTTTTATCATGTCTTCGTCACTTCCACTTGTATTGGTAATATTTGTTTCACGACTAGAAGATCTTCTTAGTTTTTCATTTAATATTTTTTGAGGTAATCTTGATCCACAAGAATTATGGTAGGAACTGCAACTGGTCAAATTTTCGGAAATATCTGTAATGTCTGGGTCAGCAATTTCGTGATCTGGTGAGCCTGCGGAGTCTGTGCATTTACTTTGTTGTTTTGTCTTAGCACTCTCGTCTGGATTCATATTCAATATTGATTTTCTAAAATCTTTATTCGTAGGAAATGTGAGCTTAGAATGAAGGGATTTGCTTGAACTCTCAGATTTCGGTATCTGCGGTGGAAGCAGCTTTCTATCGCTCAATGGTTTAGTAGGAATACTTTTTGACTTGGATGGAGACAACGATTTAACCAACTTCTTTGAATCAGAGTGGGAAGTTTGAACATTCGATAAACTATTAGAAGAATTTGTTCTAGATAAAACCTTTGATTTATCTGAAAGCTTGCTATCGGGGCAGGAAAATTCCATATCTAAAAATGATGACCAAGGTGTCGCTATATTTTTGGAAACTTCAATAGAAGTATTACTGCTCTCGGGTTGAATTCCCTTATCAATCATTGTATGAACAGATTTTCTAGTACTGGGTATTTTGTTTTCAATGATGTTGGCCACTACTGATTTCGTAGGTCTCGAAATGTTTTTACCTGTAGATTCGTGTGCCGGAGATGTCCCTCTCGAAATCATTGTTATTTCCTTCTTTTTCTCAGATTTGCTGTCATTTTCAACACTGTCGTTACCACTATGTTTGAGCAAATAGTCGTCAGAAGTACGAGAAGAACATCTGCTCGTAGACCTACTGAGCCTTTCGTATTCTTGTTGTTGTAAAGCATTCATAAGTTCCTTGTTTCTTCTACTTGGTTCGTTCATTTTTGTAGTAGAAATCTTCGCTGCTGCCGTTTGACTTTTTTCTATGGAGTTTTTAGGTAGAAATCGACTCTTTATATACTTTGGAGAAGTCTTGGAGAGGTCTTCCCGTGAAGGAGTTCGACTACTTATCTTATATCTAGGTGAAAGACTGTCATCTCTAGAGAATGATAATCTTCCAGTATACTTGGGAACATCGTCCTTCAAAATGCCTGATTTGGAATTATATTTGGTTGTATCATTCCAATTGGATCCTTTTTTTCCTGAATAATTTGTTACTGTTACGGAAGGAGTAACAGGTTCGAGATTTTCGCGACTCAGAGATCTTTGATGTGTTCTTGGATAAAGTCTATTATAGCTGAATTTGGTAGATGCCGAAGAAATACTTTCCGACTTCCTTAAAGGACTGGTGTCTCGAGACAGTGAACCTGTTCGTGGCAGAAGGCCGTAACTGGTAGGAGGATGACTAGTGTCCTTTTTATTCAGAGCTGGTTTTATTCTGGAATTTTCACTTTTCTGTCTGAAACCTGCAATAGAAAATATTTATTTCAATTTCAATTTTTTCAATCTCAATTTCAATTTATTCAGAAAAAATGCATTGGAATCACATGATGTGTACAAAACTGAATTACATTAAGTTAAATTGAAGGTAAATTCGTATGATTGATTCAGTCTAAAATACATGTATTCATATACAATGCGATACAATACGATACAATGTATATAGGGTGTAACTGAATAAGTGTAAAACATTTAAGGCGGTGATTTCTCATCGAAAAAAAATTGGATCTGTCATATAAAGAAACTTCATTGGGGCATCCCTTGTTAAGATACAGCCCCTTAAAGGGGATACATAAAATTTGTATAACAATTTTTTTCACAAGCACTGAAAAAGTTATAATATTGAAATTAACCTGACGTTTTGTACTACCAAAAAGACACTTAGCCAGTAATTTATTTGGTTTACCCCATGGTTGTAAGGGGTGGAAAACGCAACCCCTAAAATTTATTTCCAATNCCCTGTATATCTTTATACAATATTAATCTCGCTTCTTTCAGAGTGGGATAGAATACATCTGGGCGTACTTCCACTGGTTTGTGATTTTTTCTACCCTACTTGAAGTATTCAACTCCTACAATAACATTTTATATGCATATAACAGCCGTGGTAGAGAATGAAAAATAAAAACGAAAACAAAGAATACAAAGAATAATAAAACTGATTAATTCTGTTTATTCTATGATTTTCACTATAATAGCTATTTATGATACGAGTGTTGAAAGTAAGGTTTTATTTTGTGACTGAAAAAGTTTGGGAAACGAGCGTAGTGAGTAGAGTAATTTCACGAACAAAATAAAACTTACTTGTAACACAATTATCATACAAAATTTTTTGTACAACTGTCCTGTTTTCATGATAAAATAGATAAGTTCAATATTTCTATAAAAGCACATTTTGACATCTCTTGTCAGATAACTATTTTCATGTTATCGCATTTACTTTGAAGTGGCCGTGTCAGGTGACGCCAAATCACCTGGTTACCTGGTCACCTGTTTACAGCTCACGCGTTTTATTTAAAGTCACATTTAAAGTGTTTAATGTATATAATACATTTGTAACATAATTTTATTGTATCTATATCTGTTGTTCATAATAAAACTTCCTTGAAAATTGAATAATTGTGATTTGTTTATTGCTATTTGGTCGAAAAAAAATCTTGTTAAAAATACTTTTAACACTAGTGTTAAAAATATTTTTAACATGCTACTTGGTAAATATCATCTTTTAATACACTTGACAAACATTGAAAATGTCACTTTTAATGAAAGTTGTACAAAAAAGGTTTTACAAAAACCGCAACACGTGTTTCGCTATACAATAGGTTTCTCAAGCGTAAACTATTCAATTATCAAAGTTTAATACTTGAGAAAACATAAATTATAATAAAATATAAAAATGATAACGACGGTAATAAAAATTGTAATCATAATGATGATGATAATGCAGATAGTGATAATGCAGAATACGAATATTTTGAATGTTATCGGATTCTCTTGAATGTGTTGCTTGAGGATCGGTTAATATAACTTATTTTTTTAATTTTTTTCAGGTGTGTCTGAAGTCCAAAGATAAAAACGAATCTTTGTATATGACTTTTTTTAAAGATAGAAATTTTGATATGCAAGTTTTCGACTGATCTTGTCGTTTTG